TGTCTCGATCCAAATTCAGGATCACTATAAATCCAGTCGCAAAATCCTCGCGAGAAAAATTTGAAACTATCCATTTTTCATCCTCTCCTGCATCTCCAGTATGTGCGGTCTCTGATTTTGACTTCCGTTCACCTACTTTCAAAAAAATCTTCTCCACCTCACTTTAGACATCTTTATTCGTGTCTCTAACTCTTCACTAACCATCGGATCGTCTGTCTCGCAGTGTCGCACCACCACGTATAAATATTTTACGACTCCACTAGACGACCGAGTCCCATGAACCATAAACTCTGAAAATTTAAGAGAAGATTTTCACGTGCGAGTCGTCTGCCACACGAGTGCCAACGTTACTACCCCCGCGCCCCCAAGGTTTACGAGCCGACCAGCCCTAGTCTCCAGATGAGGCTCCACGAAGAATGAAAAGAGAACATCGCCGGGTGCCGCGAGCCCACTCTTACCGCTTTTACGCCTCTTACGTCAACGAACATTTGCAAAGGAACGTCTACGTACGTTTCGCACTGAAACCAAAAGACGCGCCTAATGGAGCATCGCTTTGCGAGATAACACAAGTCATTCGAGCACTAGGGCCCCCTCACCACGCTTTAATGGGTCTTTGATCGGTGTCTGTTGGATTTCGTTTTCCTCCCTCTTTGCCACCAATCAGCCCAATTCCTTACATCCTTCCTTCCTTCCTTCCTTCCTTCCTTCCTTCCTTCCTTCCATTTCTCCTTCCTCTTAGCTTCCTTATTTCCCTCCTTCCTTCCTGGCTGTATACCATCCACTCCCTGGTCGCCTTAAACGTTACACGTAAGTATCTGTGCCCCTCGAGAGCTCAAACTTTACGGCTTATTTATTTAGCTTAGATTATATTTTCTTTCCCTTATCCGATTAAACTTTAGATTTAAAATCAAACGATCTATGATTTTATACGTGAGTATTTTTTAAAAGAATTTTCAAAAAAAAAAAAAAAAAAAAGCAAAAAACAATATTAGCATTATTATGAATATTTTATTTATATGACATATATATATATATATTTACTTATACGATATTTCCTTGACCGAATACTTCATGTCAAATGATTAAATTAGATTAACAGGAAAATTAAAATGAGAAAGTTTATTTTGGTTGAAAAGGTTTAAGAAAATTTCAAATTTTTACGACATATTATCGCGAGTTCTCATATTTTTCTATTTTAAATGGTCTTATCAAATTGTATAAATGTTATTATAAGGATGATAAGTGAAAATTGAAAAATTTTTTTTTTCAAACGTACCTTAATGAGCGTAGAATGAGCTTGTATTGATAAATTTAATAGCTAATATAATAGAAACTAGTGCTTTTATTATGATTATATCCTCTCATCATACATACGCTTGAAAAATTTTTGAAAACTATATTTTACGAAGAACGAAAGATTAGCTTTCCAGTATTTTTTACTAAAATTTCATTACCTCTCATCCCCTTATAAGCGCGTATATTTTTCGTAGTGGCTCAAGTTATAGTCTAACCTATTTCTGCATGGTTACAAAATTGGAGCGAATGCTCCAACGTTACATTAACCATCGCCTATCGTATATCCACACAACCCACACAATTCATAAAATTTGCGTATAAACATACCGAGTTTACACTCAATTACGGTAGATAAACAATATAGCCGGTATTTTATAGAAATGCAATATTTTTCATTTTATAGAAACTGAAAATTATACATCGGAGACGTCAGAGCTGAATTAGCAATGTGTATGCAAACGATTCAATATACAGAATGAACAAAATGTAAAATTTTGTTCTTATGGGGTTGCTATATTGACTTGACATAGCGAAGATACGATACTTTCTAAGTAAAGTGCATGTAATATAAAAAATAGATTTTGAAAATTTTTCAATTACAAAACCATTTCAATAAATGATGCTTTTTTTTGTATATATATATACATATATATATATATATATATATATATATATATATAAATAAATGCACAGCAATTGGTTTTATGAAAAACTTAAGTTGTCACAGCTGTATAAGTTATATATATATATATATATATATTAAAGTTAAGTATATTATATTTATAAATTATATATATTAATTTATTATTATTATTTATTAACTAAAGTATACAATGAATTTCTTACTAATCAATTGGTACACATATGTTTAATAGTAGTCGTGATATTGAATCAGTAGTGTAAAGATATTTTCATTACAATATAAATTTGATCAAGCAAAACTATCACCGAGAAGCATTCATTAAATTAGAGCCTCTAGAGACAAACAGAAAATTAGTTAAAATTTTATACGCATTTGAATATCTTGACCTACATAATAGTACTCGTATTCTTTCAATGAAAATGCTTAAGTTGTTAAAATTTTAGTAAATGCTTCGGACGAATAAAAAGAAGATTCCCATTTAATTAAACCACCTTACCATATAATAAATGATTTGTATTATTATAAAAAAACATTCAAAAATTTTACTTATCCGGATGTTATGAAATGCATCGTATGATCTGAAAAATCATATCATCGATAAGACTAAGCTCGAGTAAATAAATACACGGGGACATGTAATTTGCATTTAATTTTCATGAATTTCAGATAAGCTTTGTTATACACAATTCTGTAGGTCCACGTAATTTATTTTAATTTAATTATTTCTTACGCGACTGTTTAAACTGTCACCAATGGTTACATTTTTCTCTTCTCTTTCCTAGTTTTAGTTTATGCACTCAAGAATCAGACTAATCTCATAATGAAATCACCAGTAAGACAAAGAATGAGAAAACATAAATTTTAGATGTTGAAATTAATGGACGAGTTTTTTTAGCCTCTAATCTAGACAAATGCTTAAACATCTCTCCAGTACACTATCTTTCTAAAAAATAAAGCTACTTAAGGTCTGTATTCTCAACATTTATTAAATCCCAATATTTACTTTAATTGGCGATAAATTCAAATAATTAGCTGACACTATGCACGTTTCATGCATTCGTGCGTACAGACACATGGGCACTCACATACAAATTCCCATTCCTCGTTTTCAATTACGTAAAATCGCTGCTCGAATGATAATGCGATGAGTACATTTTTGATCATGTACAGCTCTTTCATAAGCCTGATGAATTTGTGCATTACGTTCGAACAATTGTAATGCAATTTTGAAAGAGGTGAGAATGGAGTTCCGTAATTACGCAGTGCGACGGATACTTGTTTTATATTTAGAATGACTTGACGAGGTGAATAATTAATATTCACGCGCGACACGATGATTAACGACAACACCAGTAAATTTATTATATTCTAGTAATGATTTTGCGATGTTCACTATAATGTTCAATACAATGAAATTGAAAAACAGAGCTTTTACGACTACTATATTAACTCACCATACCCATACATTATTACTGAATAATTTATGAGAAATAGTTTTCACAAACATCGTCACCACGGACAATAATTTCATCAAGTTATTTTTTAAATGTAAATAGCAAACAGCGCGTCATAGGTTTTATTTTCTCTTAAATAAACTAATTAATCATTAAGAAGATTCTTTGATGCGTTAATAATTTTTGCTTATTATTATGTACCATACTTAAACATATTCAAATGATAATGTATTTCCTTATTAACTATCTTTCAAATTATCTATTATTTTAATAACAAATTTCGATTGGAGAAAAAGTTGATTAGAAGTTTACGAAAGTTCGTGCTATTTTCATCAAAGTAGATACGTGAAGAGTTTAGTAAGATGCTCAGTTTGAATGGACTTCAATTGATTTCTTCTTTAGTTTACCAACTGAAATAATAGAAAGCATACTAATACAATCGCGAAAAATAGCTAAGTTGATTTTATGAATTGAAGATAGTTTAACAGTTAATACAGCTATTTTTAATAAGAAATTCTTTTATATCGATTGCTTTTAACATTCAGATATCATAAAATTCTACTATTGATGTAAATCTAAATGTTTTCAATTTATATTTAATATGCTGATAAAAGGTTTTGTACATCTCTTAAAAACTTAATAATAATAATAATAATAATAATAAATTATTTATATTATTTTAGAATATCCCTAACTTTGCATTACTTTGTTTTATGATAATAGAAAACAATCCATAATATTTATTATTAAAATTGACGACTTTGTGTTTTAGCTGATAAATTTGCATAAAACTTTTTCAGTAATTATCTTGTATCATAAAAACTACTAAATAAGAAAAATTATACTATGTAAGCTGGGAAGCATTTAAATTCACATGGGACTTTTTATAAACAATTAGGGAAATTTTTAATAAAGCCGAACTACAGCTCCACTTTAGTATACTCGCATGGGAATATTTATTATTATATATTTTGCACTTAAAAACAATCGAATGAAAGTCAAACAATGAAATAATTTATGAAGAAAAAATTTTTAATATTTTCTATTCCAATGTTAACTACGTATATGTCTTTATTTATTAAAATTCTGAATTATTTAATTGTATAAGAAATAACATACTATATAATAACAACGTAATAATAATAATACTAATAATAAAAGCATATAATATAGTATAATTTTAACATATAATATTCTATTATGTAATAATCTCCTTTATTATGATATAATATTACTGTTAGTTAATTAATATTAAAGTATATAAAAATATCAATCAACGAGCCATTGAACGAATAAAATAAAGTATAACATCATCACGTTATTTTTGCAAAGCTTATCACCGAATAAAGCTATTGCATATTATACAATAGAGGTGGTGAAGAGCTGGTCGATGGGGGGGGGGGGATGATGATGATGATTACGAATCACCGACTTAATCCACTTGAAATGTGAGTAAAAAATAACAAATCGTTGAAGATAATTAGGAGCGCGGTCATAAAAATATTTCCATTTATTATTATTAGGGCCGCAGGCTCATATTCCCTTAGTAATCAAGCCCCCACGCCCATCCCACAATTGAAACTAATCAGATTTAATGTTAATTGCAGCGGTCTACGGCTACAGCATGCTGCACAGCAGCGGCAGCAAAAGTTCCGACACGTATCAGAACACGTTGGTCGAGACATCGCGGACGGGCCCGTACTTCGACAAGTCCGCGTCGAAAAACGTGACGGCTCTGCTGGGAAAGACGACCTACCTTACCTGCCGGGTAAAAAACTTGGGCAATAAGACGGTAAGTTATCCCGGACAGGAACTGTCCTCTGGAAACAATATTTTCCATTCGCATTACCTTCTTCTACTACAACTACTACTAATGCATTCACTCCGTTTAGTCCTTTATTAATTAATTTCACACAGATTTATTGTTATCTTAATTAATTTTTATTGACTTTTAAACTACGTGTTAATCGTGAAATAAAATATATTGGCAATTACAGCTAGAATAAACATAAATCAAGGAAATATTATGAATAACTGATGTGATTATTTCACTGTCGAATAAGCGCACGACAAGTCAAAGTTAATCGAACATGAATTGTTTGTGTATACAATAAAACATATATTATCCAATTTCGTCTCATTAAAATTTAGAAATGCAGCATTCCTAAAATGCAAGGTATAAACAAAAAAGTATCTTTGATAAAGAATTTTCTATCTAGAAACCAATATCCTCCTGTTTTACGTCGACCCTCAGCTGACATCGTCCAGCAGTTGTCAATTTCGCAAAAGGAAACGCTTTCAAAAATAAGATTCAATTCCGTCTATATTCCGACGACACGGGAAATTGCAGTATGTACGTACGCTGGCAATGGATGACATTACATAGAAAAGAGTGCGATCGCTTTTTATTATTTCTTTTAACCCTTTCAGCAAGGTTCAAAATTAAAACATGCTGGTATATTTGCTTTTTTCAAAGCGGATTAAGTTTCTCAAATATTTATATATTTACTGTAAAGAAAATCAATGGAATAAAAAGTTTATTTTATTACATAAGTTGCAGGATTCGTTTTAAACTTTTAAGGACACAATAACAGACGATGGCAGTTTTATCCAATTTTCCAATTTGATAGAACATTAATATTTAGTAATATAATATGTTCAAAATTATTGACTAAAATTAACTTTATTTTTCTTGAAGACATTTTCAAGATAAAATGCTTTACGGTCTAATATCGATTCCTTTCTAGAATTTAAAAAATAATCAATTCCAGAAGTAGTTTTAAAATCATTTTTATTACTGGCTTCCTTAATATAAAGAACTGTAAACTTCTCCAATTTATGACTTTCTATTGAATAATTATTACAAATTAATTAGCGAAACAGCATTAAAGCATAATTTCTAATTAGCTAAATGATATAAATTTTAAATTTTCGAAAAATTTACAATATTAATAAAAATACGCAATATTAATTATTAAATTTTATTAAAGATTTTTTAAACAATTGTTTCGTGTTTTTAGTAGTTAATAAGCTTTAATACGTCGTATGAAATGTATACAATATAATTATAATATAAAATTGATTATAAATGATTATTATGAACATGTAAACATGTTTACACTAGTATATAAATATACTAACAGGCACGTTTGTTTGTGTGTGCGTGTGTGTGTATGCGCGCGTGCGCGCGATTACGCGTATGTTTAAGTTCTTATGTATATGCATAAGTAGAATTTGATATCGTGTTTATACGAAATAGTATAATAATTAATGTGTAAGCTACTTTTACGGCAAAGTAAAATTTTGAATATACTAGTAAAATTGTTTATTATTTGCCGATTTTAAAATTACAGAATTCAGCTTGAAAATGTTGTTTGTCGCCGTGCATTTATTTATCTTATCAAACGTAGATAACAAATATTTAACATCGGAAAAATGGTTTCTTCATTACTGCACGAAATCCATGAAAATCTAAATAATGCCAATATTGTGAAAAAAAAAATTATTGTTAACTGATGCATATTTTATAGCTAAAACAATTATTATTAAATCAATTATTAATAAATATAAATTCATGATATTCATTTATTAAACCTGCAAATTATTAATCATATGACCTTAGATTAAATAAACATTCTCTTGTCTTTTGATTATTGTAAATGAATTTATTTTACATGATAATTTAATAAATAAGACTTTTTCAATATACAGAAACTACACGATTGTTTTTTTTTTTCTTATTGACATAAATTAATTATTAATACTTAATATTACGCAAATTTTTAAGCAAATCCTATTGAAATTTTCAAATGTTTCTGTAAACAAATAAACGAGACAAGCTTCAACCGTCACTGAATTCGTTACACTAATTTACATGGCGAAAACAAACACAATCAATATTATGTTGAGAAATTAAGATCAGCTTGAAGCAAAATTCTCTTCAATTTATCCTATAAGAGTATTTAACTGAGTTGATCGTATTGACATAGTTGTCTATACTTCATCGAATTATCTATAGGCAATTTTTTTCGTCCTGGAGACTCGTTTAAATTCCCTTATATTTTCAAGGACATTATATGTACATTAGTAGTAAAATAATTTACGTTTACTCGAATAAATATTTGCAAACGTTAATTGACTTTATTTAAAGTGACAATTTTCTAACCAGAGAATTTTTTCGACTTCGCGTATTTCACTTCAACCTATTGTTGCAAAATAGGTATGTTATCAAATTATCCATTAATAATATAATTATTATCTAAACGTTTCTCCTCAAATATAAGATTTTTCAACTCTTATCTTGTGATATATATTTATATATTAATTAAGATGAAATAATTTCATATCGTTCTATTAAGAAATATTAAATTATATTAGATGATAGTATATACCATTATAATGTTGAATATTATAATTTTGTACATTATTATATAGAATATTACATGTTTTTCCGTACTGTATTATTAAAAAGTAAATATCAAAAGTTTCATACGCAATAGAATTGAAATTTTAATTGATTGATATATTAGAAAAACAATTATTTATTTTTATTTTCGAATACAGATGAATTTGTATTTTTTCAATCAAATTTATTTATAGCTTTAGATGCTTTTCTACAATATAATTTTTACACTAAAAAATTTCGAGAGAAAAAGTAAAAAATATTTTTTCATAATTCCTTTTTCTTAATAAATATGTACAAGTATTATTTGATACGAATTTCTATTGTCATTATCGTAAATTCACCGTGTTATTTTCTTAAAAACAATCGTATCTTTGCAGCATTCAAATTATATTGTCAATAAATTTACAGTCTGCTCATTATAGTAATTTAAAATTTCCTTGTAATACAAAATTATCGAAAACAATATGATTGATAGATCATTGTTGCAAAAAGTTAATTCAGTATTTAACAGCATTCATACTCGAGCAATTTAATTTGTAACATGAATTTATCTCAATTGATAAATTATTAATCCCTACGATTGTCCAAAAATAAGGACTATTGGCCGAACTCTATCTCATGAATACATATGCCTATAAATGCACATATAAAGAGGGACAGATAACTAAGTCCATCTGCACTGTTGATCCAAGTCTTAGAATTCAATAGTCCGTATAGCCGATAACAGCTAAGGTTGATTCAACTAAATAATATAGATGGACGAGCTTATGTGATGAGGGGACTTGGCTAATCGACAGAGAAGCATGATTAACGAACGTTCTACGAATCCTTAATAAAGCATTTCATGTATTTTCTAATTATTTAGTTACTTTTTAATCTGAAAATTATATGATATGATTATCCTTTATATAATAACCCAGGAGTGCAAAATTAGTTATAAACGTTCATGAATCATCGATTGTATTCTTACAATATTATTTAGAAACGACTGCCAATGAATTGATATAGCTTAGAGTTACGCAAATTTAGTGTTTAATAAAATTGATCCTTTATATATGAAATTCAAATAGTGATGAAAATAAAGTTATAAAAATCGCTAAAATAATTTATTTATTTATTATTTTTCCATAACATAGACATTATATTATATTTGCAAAATGGAATATTCCTATGCATATGAATAAGAAGACATATTGTCATTCGAAATAGATTCCAGATAACGATAGTGGACTTAGTTGACAATGATCTCCGTTCTCTTCCAGAATAATGAGTTCATCAGTGTTTGCACAATAAGTCTTCGGTAAGTCTTAAGATACTACAGTGTACCACGTGGACTCAGTAAAATGTGCATTTAAATGCGTATTTTCTGGTACAATATAATAAAGCTCATAATCCATGGCTTATTTTAATAGATCGTACTATCTTTGATCACGAACACTAAAATAAATTACAGAATATTAAATATAATCACATATATTATCGTTTATGCAAAAATTTTTAAATTGTAAACAGCCCCATTATCATTGAAAAATATTCTAATGTTAAATATGCAATGGAAAATGTAGTATAAACACAGCATTTATATGTTTTCTATATAACCAACAAGAATATAGAATTTTATATAAAACACAAAAATTATAATACAAATAATGCATAGAAATAATAATACTAATGGCCAATTTTTAATTTATCATTTTCATTCTATCAGGTTATTTTTTCATTTGAAGTTAGTAATTTGTTTTCCACATTATAATAGTCATATTGTTAATTCCTCATTTAATAAATTCAGTTGGTTCATTGAAGTTTAACATAGTTAAGTCAATTATCTAATATATTTATTTAAATATGTATTCTTTTTTTTTTCGTATGTCTATTGTGCTGAATTAATTTTTTATACATAAATGATTTTCTATAGAAAATCGCGTTCAATATATAAATTATATCGTTTTTTTTTTTATCTAAATACGAATGTATATCACAATAATGTAATTTAATTTAAAGTTTTAATTAATAGGAACAATTGCTCGTTAAATTTAAGATTTTTTTTTTTATTGAAAAATTCGACGGAAACTTTATATTATTGACATTCAACATAAATTGAAAATACAAATAATTGAACTATTTATATTTTTTACATTTTTAAAAAATACTTTTTTCCTTTACATATGCCATCATAATTAAACTTTCAAAAGCACCCACATCTGATCGATTTAAGCACAAGCTTCGATTTAATTTTCATGTGAAGTTTTAACTCTCTGACTTTATCTATCTATCGATCTATCTATCTTTTTCATTTTTCTTTTTCATTTTGAATTTTTCCCTTTCACGATTTCTATATAACGCATGCTTTAAATGATTTATTCCTATTAGAAATGCAGTTGCACATT